TGTCGTGTCGTGTCGTGTCGTGTCGTGTCGTGTCGTGTCGTGTCGTGTCGTGTGTCCACGTACGCTCAACCGCGGTGGCGGCAAGAGGCAGTGGGAGCGCTGTCGGGAGCTGGAATCGCAGGAGGTCGGCTTCGATCATGCGCGGGAGGAGCACGTGGGCGAGTCGGTAGTACTCCTCGGCCGTCGAATAGCTCAGGACCACCGCAAACGCCAACAGCTGGTATGCCAGCAGCGCGCCATCGTCGTCGTCGTCGTGGTGGTACTCTTCAGCCGCTTGTTCGACCGAGAACCAGTGCTGTGAAGTAAAGTTAGCGTCGGCTGCGTGCGTGGGCGTGGCTGCGTGGTAGCGTACGAGGAACAGGCGGCAGTGGCGGTCCGAGACGCGGCAGTAACACAGGCAACGGACATAACTCTCGAGCAACTCCTCCTCGGTGTACTCCCCCGATTGCGGCGCCATCGGCCAATCGGGCAGCCCGTCGCTGTCGTCCACCCACGACGCCGCTGCAGACATACAGACATACACATCATTGAACTCAGGCCCCAGGGCAACACACACACGCACACACGACACGCACACACACACACACACACAACGTACGCAGGTACAGGGGGCTGCTTCCGCCCTCCCGTTGGTACGGTTGCGCCGCGGCGAAGAGCGGCCGAAGGCGGAGCAGCACGTCGACCTCCAGGTCTCTGATCTCGCTCAGGAAATCGCCCATCGACGAGCCGCCCCCACTCACCGCCTGCGCCCCTGCTTGTTTGGGCGTGTGCGTGCGAGTGATTGAGTGTCGTTGGTCGTGTAGTGTCGTGTCATGTGCCGTGCGTGTGTAGTGCCATCGTACCGGGTCGCCAGCCAGGCAGGCTCGGGTGGCGCACGCGTGCGATGAGGCACAGCGCGAGGAAGGCGGCCACGCGCTCGGTGACGTGGACGAGCCGCGCAACGACGGCCGCCCGGAACCGCGGGCGCTGTCGCAGCAGCTGACAAAGCGCGAGCAGGAGCTCCCACGGGTAGGCCTCCAGGACCCACAGCCTGCGGGCCAGGTACCGCTCCTCGGGCGGGGCGAGGCCGCACTGCGTGTGGTCGTAGTAGGCCCGCTCGGGGCCGCCGTAGTCGTCGCTGCCGCCCAGCACGGCGGCGACCAGGTCGAGTAGGAGGGCGAGGTGGTCCTGTAGCTCGGGCGTGCATGGCGCGCCGTAGCGCAGGTCGCCGGCCATCTGCTGGACGCGGGGCACGAGCGACCACGCCAGCAGCTCCGTGCCGTCGTAGATCGCGGTGCGGGCCTGGGCGAGGCTGGCCCTCACCCGCTGGTCCAACGACGCGTCGCCTTCGTCGTGGCCCGCTCTGCCGCGCCCGCCAGATTCGTCTCCAACCGGCGCTCTTGGCTGTGTTGCGTTCGAAGTCGTACGCACGCACGCAGTCAGCCGGGACTCAGGAGGGCTGGTGACGAGTGGTGCGGGAGAGAGAGAGAGAGCGTACCTCGAGTAAGAGCACGAGCATGGCGATGAAGTCCCGCTCGGCTTCCGGGCCGGCCCTCCACGTTTTGATGTCTCCGACGTAGCGGTCCACCACTTGACCGACGAGGCTCATCCCTGTAATGAGGTGGTGGTGGTGGTAAACAAGTATGATGAGCTTATCGCTCTATGGTGCCGTGCGGGCTGGGAGGCCAAGCTCACACAGCTGTGCGGCGCACCGTCTTCGGAGTCGTGCGAGCGATAGCGCGCGACCAGCCCCGTGTTATGCAACAGGCCGCACAGGACGGCGGCCTGCTTGGCGTTCGCGACCCCCTCCCCTACAATCCGCTCCACGAACCGGAGCGGGATGACCAGCGAGACCTGTGCACACACGCGCGCTAACTGTTAGCAGTCATTCGGTCGACGACGAACGCAACCGGGCCGCCACCACGCCGGCAGTGGAAGTGCGTGCCTCATAGACGGATGAGAGGTAGTTCTTGTCGTCGAGGTGTTCGGGCACCAGTCGGTTCAGCTTCACGGTGAGCTGCCTCTCCGCTTCCGCGACCAGCGCGGGGTCGTTGAACAGATAGCGGCCGGCGTCCGCCGGCGTGGTAGCGCTCTGCACAGTCGACCTGCACTCATCATCGTTCGTTCGTTCACAGCGCGCGGTCGGGTAAGCTCAAGAACTCGGCGAAAGTGAGGTGGTGGCGGTTGGAGGCACGCACTGCGCGTCGAGCAGGCTCTGTTCGTCGTCGGCGTTGCGGAGCGGAGCGACGTCCTGCGGCGACCGCCTGACCGAATTGAAATAGCAGAACGCCCGGGCCGTGGCCTGTTGTGCCTGCGGGAGCTCCCTGAAGTAATCGAGGTAGAGCCGGCGGATCTGCTGCTGGAGCTCGTCTGCGCCCATCTCGTCGGCCTTTTGCCGTCACCCCCACACACCACACACACCGCGCAACGGTGTGAGACAGTGCTCGGCATCTGATATGAGTCTGTGTCGGACACAGGCGGAGGCGCACCTCAGGGGCGGAGGGACAACAGAGCTCGACGTGGAGGCGCACAAGGACCGTGAGCAGGGGGTACACGAGCTCTCCGATCTGCACGAGCGGCACCAGCCACCGCGCTCTCACGACCGCTTCCAACCACCTGCGCACGGTCAACCGCTGATGAGTAACGGGCGGTTGAACCACACTACAGGGTCAGAGGGAGTGGCCTACCGAGCGATGCCGAAGCTGTGCGCGGCGTCGGTGTCGGTAACCAGCTGACGCAGGGCGGCGGTGCTGCCTCGTTCTGCCTTGTGCAGCAACTGCTGCAGACCGTCGGCAGCGCCCAGGTGCCCGCGCACCGTGGCTTCGCTGTCGTCGTGCTCTTCGTGCGCGCCGCGCCGCTTGCGCAGGCCCAGCAGCTCGTCGATGCGCTGGGCAATCTGCTTCTTGCCGGGCGGGGCCACCACG